CACTAGTTACTGCACGTGTCACTGCTGTGGGCTTCTTCCAGAAATAGATCTAGAAAGGAGCTTCTTATCATACACCTGGTAGGTGTGTGTTGGCATGACATTTTTTGTTTCCTTTTCTTGTAATTCCTGCAGACATCCTGCTACTGCTGAAGTTTATAATGAATAGGAATGAAAGCTGTGTCCTGTCTTTTCACGTGCTCAGGCCCACTTGAAGTACCTGTCTCTCCTGTGTGGGCAGTACAAGTCAGACCTGCCTACAGTCCCCAAAAAAAGTGTTTGTTTTTTGTTTTTTTTAAACTGTAGGCTTTATGGGCAGGGTACATGTGTTGTCCTTGCTGCTGTAGTAGTAAAGTACCTGGAGGCACATGTCTCAAACCATTTAGACTGTTTTACTAGGGTTGGCCAGTTTTGAGAAGTGGTAGCCATCAGGCACCTCTCTTCAGCTGGAGATCTGTGCTGAGAAGGGTGCACAGCTCTCAGACACTCCCCCCCAGAAGCAAAACCACCAAACAGCTGGCTGTAGAAGTTAAGCCTTGAGCAGCATCTGCACCATCAAATGATAATCCATCTGACCTGCATCAGAAGCAGCTTTTGCTGTGCTGTCCTTCTGTAAAACATCTGGAGACCTGAGCTGGTCCTGTTATGCTCTCTGAAGGATTTCTATGACTGGGTCTGACTGCTTCTTCTGGATCCGAAAGGCAGAAAGTCATAGGGCAGCATAAACAGGTAGCAGAAGAGGTATCAAAAACGAGGTGCTTGGCTGAGGTGTGAACTAGCAAGCTTGAGCTGACTTTCTCCAGAGGGCAGATCCTCATGTGTTGCAAACTGTCCTGACTCCTCTGAGGCTCCTGGAGTTGTAGACGCTTATGTCATTCAAAGATCTGTCCCAAATGCTTTATAACAACTGATAATCCCTATTTCTGAGTATTTTATTTTACACATCCTGCTGTGTGAGAATTTACTGCTACTAGAATTTTGCTGTGCTATGTTTCTAAAATGCAGATCTAAGAATGTGTTGTCTACGTTTATGACTGGCAATAAATCTCAAAATGTTTGAAACCACTGGCTTAGCCAGCTTTCCCTGTTGGAGAACAGCTATTTCACCTCTGTTTCTCTTCTGTAGTTATAAATGTGTTACCTGTTCAACTCCTATGGAGCAGAGCTGTGACTAAATGCAGTAAAATTCATTGGCAACCTGCAGTCTTGTTGCAAAATACCCTTTCTCATAAGGCAGTAAAGACCTGACATTTCTTTTCAGACTACTTTCAGCTTTTAATATTTAATATTGCGATCACCTGTTTTCTATCATGTTCTTTTTATTTAATGAGTTGTTGAAAATATTTACTTTCTTCTCCAAACATCTCTGTCTTGTAATCATTCTGGAGGCATTTGGAACTAAAGTTTTTGATACTCAGTTTATCTGATTTTAGCTCAGTCAAAATTTCTATCAGAGGAATCTGGATATCATTAAGATAATTTATGTTTTCCATCTAAACCCATTAAAATAATAGTTATTATAATTCTCTAGGCTCAGTGTATGTGTGTGGTTAGGTTTTAAACTGCTGTTTCCAGGATGTTCTAATAAGATTGGCTCTCATTTTGCCTTAGTGTGGAAGTACTCTTGCTGAGTTACATTTGTTTATCTTACTTCGGCTTGATACTGGGAAGAGTGAAATGAAATGGCTTACTGAATTTGGTGAAAAACATCAAGAAAGAGAGAATTTGACACACGAGTGACAAACTGGGTTCAGTTCCCTCCTCTGCAAACTGATTTCTCTCTGTTCATTTGTCAGAAAATGAAGGTAAATTCTCTTTTTCCCTATCCTTTTGTCAGTCTAGAATCTCAAAAATTGAAGATGTCCTTGTTACGTGCATATTGCCTAACAAAAACTGACTTCAAAAATTAGAGATAGTGTCAAGGAGTCTTCTTGTTAAAATGGATGGCATTGCTGAGAAGTCAGTACTTCTTTGGGATTTGGTGGTGCACCTAACAAATGTTTCTACAGTTCTGGTTTATTTCATAAATATGTTCCCAGATAAATTCATGTTAGTACAACCTTTTAACAACTGTTAAATTGTATACTGAGGATTTTTGGGTAGCCAGCACCAGCAAAAGGATCTGGCTTGTGGGCTAAGTTTAACTTTGATAGAAATGTCAGCTTCTGTCAAGATCATTAAATACTTGCTTAATCTTCTACAATGCTTTTGTTTATTTTCAGTTAATAAAATACACAATAGAACCTGCTAGATTTCTTTCTCTCCCACATGGTTAAGAGAAAACTTTTGCATGCATTGAAAATTGTATAAATAACTGTAGGCAGCTTGGAAAATATAGATACAAGAAAATATATTAAGTGGGAGCCAAGCCATCTAATGTCAGGATTGCTCAAACAAAAAAATCAAAACAAAACAAAACAAAAAAACCCACAACAATATTTATCACGGTAGTTTAATTAAGTGAATTAAAACTTTTAAAAGTAATTGAGACCATCCATGTTATTGATTCCATAAAGCACTGTAAGGAGAATGAAGGAGCACTGTGTCTAAATAGCCTTTCCCTCAGCAAATGCAGTCTTTTTTTTGTAACATGGCTGTGGTGTAAGTCTAGGGACCCAGGTGCAAGGTTTGTCACTGAACCCATTACATTTGTAAGCTTAAAGAAGTGTAAACAGTGTTCTAGTCTCTTAGTCATGGAACTTTCTTCTCAAACTCCTCTAATTAAGCTAAAACTGAAATGGAGGCTCTAAGATGGGTGTCTATATCCTTGGGCATTGATATTGCCTTGCCTATTGCTAAAGAGCAATCTGTAATCCTAATTCTTCTTTACAGTAGGCAGTAATGAATTGCTTTATATTTGTCTTTAGATAGAAGAAAAATGTATGAATATTTGCATATTGATAAATGGGGGGAAAATGTAATGGTTAAAGACTATCACAGCTGACTTTGCATTACTGTGAAAAACATGGTCTTTTTTAATGATAGAATAGGAGTTGTACAACTGCATTATAATTTTTAAATCCTCAATATCCATAGGAAGCCCTTTCTATATAAGGCACTCATCCCTGTGAAGGAAAGGCAGCTGCTTGTGACAGATGATTTTCATTTGTTTATTTGCTGAATTAATTGTTCCAGCTAAACAATTCCCTACCATGAACTGTAATTTTCTCTGATGAAGAAAAATGAATTTTTCTACTTTATGTAGCTAGAAAGGGCAGTACTAATATTTTGGCTTCTTCTCCAGCAGTAGCAAATAAATTCTATCTGGACATTTTGAGATAAAAGTCTGTTTTGCCTGTGCAAACTGCCACTGAGGCTTCGATACCATTGTTGCAAAGCTTAGAGCAAACAGAGCAGCTGTTTTAGTCCAGTTTAAACATGGTGAACAAGAGTGAAGCATATTAACTCCAGCTGTGTACTGATAACAGCTGGGAAGGAAAATCACTGTAAGGGAACCCAAAGTAAAGTATTAGCAGCCTTGGCTATCATGAGTATGCCTCCAAGGGAGGAGCAACAATGAAAATCTGATCATTAGAACCATGGAGAATTTAATGAGAAAATCTCATGTCTCCTTTCATGCTTCTGTAAAGATGCAGAGCAGGTTCTGGTGCTAGTGGCATTGCCTCTGAAGATTTTTGATGCAGGTCTCTTGCTGTATTCACACTCACAAGCAATTTTAAGATGAAGGCAAGTACTGAGAAAGGGATTCTGTGCAAAGTGATTGTGTTTTTGTTAGAGGAAGTGTCCATAGCTTAGTATCTCCACCTAACATTTACAGAATTTGAGGGGCTTTTAATGCAAGAAAAATTTAGTGTTTATTACAGTTATTTCCATAGACTTTGTGTGATTCTCCAGCTGTCTTTGACTATACGAAGAAAATTATGGCACTGTTCAAGCTACAGTGGGAATGAATGGTTTCTGTGTTGGAATGCAGATGCTTTCAGAAATTTCTTGCAATTGAAGTAACTAAGCAAACATGTCCATTTTTCATTTTTTGGAAAAACTGGATATTTTCTCCATCCTTTCACCCTCTGTCTTACTTGTTGTCTTCCTCATCCCTTCAGCCTATGTTCATGTTCTGTTTGGTGTCTTCTAATCTTCATTGAGTTAGAATTGTGTCTTGGGTATGTTCTTCTAAGAACATACTTTAGAACATACTTTGTGTACTTTAGGTGGATGTAAGAGGACTAGACTTAGCTGAAGTTTTGGACAGGAGGCAGTGCAGCTGTCTGTGTCTCTCTGAAAAGAGAACATAAGGATATGAATAAAGACATTTAAATGAGGCCAGTTAGCATTGTCATAAAGTTCTTATAATGTTAACCAGCTGTTAGAGACTTGATCTCATTCTTTCGTAGATTACATGCCTCTTATTTTGCTAAAAGTCAGCGTGCTTTATTTCTGTGTGCACAGCAAACAATTATATAATAAACCAGGTCTTCAGTTTCATGTGTATACAATTATGAGAAAGCAGTAGCTTCTCAGAGAAGGCAATTTTGGCATCAAGCCTGTTTTCAAGTTAAAAGTATGGAGTATGTAGAGTGAAAAATGTAAACACGTATAGATGTATGTGAAAATAGTAGGGGAGTGAAAGAGGATAGAAGAAACATGAACAAGGGAAACAGAATTAAAAACACATCTTGCAAATGGCTTGACAATACCATGTCAAAATAGTTGTAAAGCTGAGTAAACTCCAAAGCCCAGTGGCACACACAAATATGAGGAGAATTTTAGTGTTCCCAAAAGACAGGGACCTGTCTGAGTGGATCACTGAAAGTATTTGAATGCCATATGTTAAAACTATCTCTTGCCTTGTGCTTTTATATAAAAGTGATTTTTCTCAGTGAGAGAAATCTGATGGCTCTGATCCTTTTATGACTGTAGTAACTTTCTGATTGATCCTGGGACTGTGTACAAAAAGCAACTGCATATTAACTAGCTGATAATACTGCATTCTGATTTTACTTACTCTCATCTACTATGGTTTGTTTTATTGTGTTTTTCAGGTCTGATAGCTGCACTGGATCGCTGATTGAGGTCCCCTCTAAATTATAATACTGAAAACAATGGCAACAGAATGTATAAAAACCTGCTGTAAATTGTGTTTCTGCATGGACAAGGAAAAAAATGATTGTGAGTTCTGACATAATGAGGGTTTAATAAAAGTTTTGCTGCATTACTGATGAGATTTCCCATTAATAGAATGACTGTGTTACTCCTGATAAACTTGATTCCTCTTACAACATCCAAAATTCTTTTCATACCTCCACTTCATACCATGGAGATTGAACCTGTGCTTGTTATTATTATGAATTGGAACTGAGAAATGACAGTTGTCTGAAGTCTGTCTTTGCAGTTGAGAATACAGTCCAAAAAAGCCAGCTTTTTTACCCAAGGTTGTGTAAAGGTCTTATATCTTCAAACTCTCAGAATTTGAATGCTTTTTTTTTTCTTTTTATACTCTGTGGGTATTTTTAAATTTGTTAGGATTTTCTTTGGCATCTTATTTGTTTGAAGAACTCATCTATGATACAAGTGTATCTCTTGTGCAAATTCATTTAAGAAGGTAGCTATAAATATAGAAGCTTGGACAACAAAGAGTTTGGATCAGTACAGGTGTCAGGAAGATGAATATCTTTTCCTGGTACTAGTCCTGAATGCTACTAGCAGCTGTTAAGTCATGTATCAAGCAGAGATACTATTAAAGAGATCTGTTTGTAGTATTGTTCAAAATTAATGCACATGTGTACTGTCTGTCTTGCTCTTTATTTTTAGCAGTTTCCATGGTGCAGGAATCTGAAGCAGTAGCTGCAAGCAAGCCAACTATTGTAGAGCAGCCTCCATTGTCTTCTGTGTCAGTGAAGCGTCAAGTTGGCTGTTCTGAGGATTATTTGCTTTCTAAACTGCCCCTGGATGGTCAGGAGGTACCATTTGTGGTTCCTCCATTCAAACTGGCTTATGTACAGCCAAAGAACCTTCCCAGTATCTCACATGCTGGAGGGATTAAAGGTAAAATACAGACACTATTGCTGAAATTGTTGTTTAGCTTCTGCTGCACCTTGAATGTTGTTAAGTATTCCTACTGAAAATGTGTTTGCAGACCTTTGCAGAAGCTTGGTCTTGTTTCAAAGAATCATAGATTATGCTGAATTGGAAGGGACACACAGGGATTATCAGGACACCCCATGAGTCACACCATGTACCCGAGAACAGTGTCCAAACACTTCTGGAACTCTGTCAGGCTGCTGCTGTGACCATGTCCCCAGGGAGAATGGGGGAGCTTGTTTCTTTTCTCTCTGGACACCCAGAGAGGCTTTGGGAAGTATGTCATCCAACTGTGAATCTCTGTGACATTGTATGAATAAAACTGAGTGGAACAATTGCACACCAATGCTCATACTCAAAAGTAATGGAAGATGCTTAAAAGAAATGGAATCTTTAGAGAGAATTTATTAAATTTATAGGAAAGACCTAACATATCCCCAGTATCCATATCTCTCAAGTAAAAGGAGGGTGTTCTTTCATGGTTAATATTCTGCTATGTTGTAACATACTAACACATCTTCCTTTTCAAATTTTGCCTATAGATGACAGGGGCTACTGTCTGGCAGAATTTTTTGTCCCTGCTATTTTCTCTTTCCTGTTTTTCGGGAGGCCAGGGGGCACAGAACCCCTGTTACGAGGTTTCATATGATACTACTTCTTTTCTGCTTTGCAACAGTCTTGTACTTCATCCTGTTACTCCCATACTCAAACTGCCAAAATGAGGTGCGTGCAATTTAGACACAGTGGCAGTTAAAAAGTGAGTTACAGAGCATATGCTATTGTTAGGCTTTTAGTCCTGCCAGGAGATGCTTAGAATTAGGTAAGGGACAATTCTGGCACAGAGACAAACCTGAGCAGTTGTTTTCTCTAGGGTTGCTTTGCCTCAAGGACGTGATAAGCTGGTAGTACCTTCTTAGTCCCATGTGACTTTATTTCCTTTCTGAAGGTGAAAAGCCTATCAATCATATGTTGCATAACAACTAATGCAGTACTACCTAACTTTTTTGTTTTTGTAGGGTTTTATTCCCACCCTTCCTTCTTCTCCTCCCTAGGTCCCTGCTGTTGCTTCTTTCCTGCTCCTGCAGGCCTGTTATCAAACTTCTTTCCCACCCACTGCTGCATGTACCACTGGCACCACAGCCGAGCTAAGCAGCCTAGCAGAGCTGTTCAGTACAGACTGGCCATTCTATGCCCCATCTTCCAGTGGGCTTCATTTGGCATGTCAGCAGCCATTAACAGGCAGCTGAAGAGTTGGAGGTAGAACCTGTGAGGCCCCCTCATCTCTGAGCCTGATCTCCCCAGTTACCTGCTATTTCAGTAGCTAGTTTTTGTAAGTCCATAGTTGGATATACTATGGAAAAGCAGGACGTGCTCCTGGTTATCCCCTTTCTTGCTGGGTCTAGGTTTAGGCTCTGCCTTGCTTAGTCTAATCTCATCCTCAAGATACAGTACAGAGAAGTTCATCAGGGACTCTGAGGCATGGATGTTCTCCAGAGAAAAAGGAATATGTGTCTAACAGCCTTTAGATGAATGTTGTCCTTGATCATGCTGTTCTTACACAATCTTAACAGTCAGTGACTTGTCTGTGTTAAGAATTCTGCTTCCTAATAATTTCCGAAGGACCTGATGTGGTCCTTTAGGCTACAAGCTGTTATATCTTCTGGCAGGATGACCTGACTCTTCATAATTGAGTCTCTTAAGCAAATATTTTAAATTTTTGAACAAGTATTGAAAAGTGACTCTTATGTCAAGTAGGCAACTTTAATTTCTCTTTCCAAATAAAAATGCTATTTTTTTTAAGTACAGATTTAAGCTGTATAAAGTTGTGCTTTAAAGTGCAGTGTTTACTTTTTAGGGAGATTTGCTAAATGAAATGAAGTGTGCTGTCATTCTTTTTTCACATTAGCCAAAGTACCAGCATACTAAAAAAATGTATTCAGAGTACTTTTTTCTTAGACCATTGTTAAATATCTGTGGAAGTCCAAGTCCTGCTCTCAGTTCCTCACCATTTTCTGTGCATGTCTGGCCATTTTCCTTTAGTGAAACAGGACATGCTCAGTGTTAGCTCTTGGCAACCCTTCTGAAAGCAATTAAGTTCTGGCAGCCTTTCTCTCCTGCTTACTGCAGTGTGTCTCATGCTCTCACAGAAGTAAGCTAGCAGGAAGAAGTGCTCCTGGTCTGGAACACTGGATTTTCCATCCTCTACTGTGTAGCAATTCTTTGTGGCCTCACTTTTAGTGTTCATCCTTTGAACACTGAAATCATCCTTGAGCATGATTTACATCATGCTCGAGCCCATTTTGCTTGAGTTCTTGCTTTGTCACTGCCCGTGTTCCATTTCAGTGTTTTAGTTTTTTACTTTACTAACACATGCAGGAGAGGACTCTTGAGCAGTAGTAGTTTGCCTCTTATGGTGCAAGACACCTGCAGAACTGAAGGCATTTTATTGTGGAGTAAAGACCCTTTTAAGAGATAGGTTGAAGTCCAGGGAGGTGAAGCAAAGGAAGCAAGTATCAGAGTTTGGCAGAATCCAGGTCATCCCATTCTCTAATGTGCTGTTACTTATGGCTTCTTTTCAGTCCAGACAGTAAAGAACACTACAGCAATGTTCTTCACTGTTTTGCTGACCAAGGCATACATGGTTTTTCTGAAATTATTATGGGCTGAGTAAAGCTGAGAAATTATTATGGGATGGGATTCAAGCAGCCTCAGATATGTCTACTAATGCCTCAGCCAACAATTCAAGTAATTTTGGACCAGTGATTTTACCATGGACAGACTTGCCATGGAAAGTAGATAAGGGGACTGCAGTCAGAAGCTGCATTATCTTTCCATACAAGATCTTCCTGAAGGTCTGGGGGTCCATTAGTTCAGTAATAATATGCTGGGGGTGGGTAGGTAACTAAGTAATTTGGAGGTTTTCTGTATACAGAGTGCTACTTTTCCTGTTAACTTCTGTCTTGCTGTCTGTCTTTGGAGCCTTCTGTATTTAACTACTTAGGCATTTACTACAAAACCCCAAGAGAGGGTATGCATAGTTTTTTATGGTAAATTTAATTCCAGTGTTTGCTCACACACTGTGGACACCTGACATAATGTGAATGTGTGTTTTCTTTTTCTTTTTTTTTTCCCCTTTACCCAAAGTAGGTAATACGAAATATTTTGTCCTTTGCCCTGGAGGCACTCTGCCTGCCTTATGAAGCCAGGCAGCATGTGCTATGTCTGGAACTTTTGCATTTGATGTTTACTTGTGCTCCACAGAGTCAGCCAGAGCCTCGTTTGGCGAGCGGAAGGCAGAGCTGCACGGCGTGTACCAGTGGCCCGGCTGTGACGTGTACAACCCCTTCTACCTGGAGCATCGTGTTTCACCAGATCTCGTCAGGCGCTTCCAAGCAAAATCAAATAGTAGGAAATTGTATGGATCAGGTGAGAAGGACCACACCCTTGCTTCTCTGTCTTCTTCCCTTTTTCTGGGTTTATAGGCAAGAGGAATAAAAGCCATTAGTCTACAGAAGACTTGCATGGTTATCGCAGTTCTCAAGCTTGTTGGTGTGATATGGACACTCCTTGGTTGGTGAATCAATCTGCAGAGCAGCTCTGCTTCATTTTCAGCTGTACTGTTACTTTTTGTCTTTTAGGGGCTTAACAAGGCTTGCATGCAGGTAGAGAAATTAGTAAAGTGAGATTCTGTAGCTGCCTCTGATCCAGACCAACATGCAGTACTGGAGATTTCAGCTACCAGTAAGAGAAGTGAGGGAGATGGAAAAAGGAAGCCAGGCAGTATGTTGAGTAGGAGGAGTGCCTGAGGAGTACATATATGGGGAGAGGAGCAAGCACCAAGAAGCATTCAGGAGCAGATGATAAGAACAGGTGCAAAATGGGGCATGATGTTATATGCCAGCTTTTTTTTTGAAGCTACAGCAATGTCCCCACTTCTCAGTGTGTAAGAATGAGGGAGGGCTGTGAGATAGTAAAAGTTTAGATAGAAAGTGTTTGGCTACCTAAGTAAAAATTGTCTTCTGTGCTGTTCATTGGTGTATGTATCCTGGAGTGAATGCTGTTCTGACTGAAGTAAATGACTGGTTATTGCTTGTGATTGCTAAGGCAAATGCATTCAGAAAACTCCAACACTCCAGGAAAGGCACATGCTCTCCATGAAATCGGAAGCTGGCAACAGCTCTCATTTTTAAAGGTGTTTTATTTAGAATGGTATAGCATTCTTATTTTCAGCTGGGGGAAAATGTCTCAGTCTGTGTTCTGTTTTAAAAGAATTCTGAATCACCATAGAGACTACATGAAAAGACTATTCCATATATATTTTTTTAAGAGAACAAAACACAAGAAGAATTTTAGCAGCCTTTTACACATATGGTTTTACCAGGCTTTGTAAGCACGTGTGGTGGGAGCCAAATGGGTTTTATTAAACTGTCTTGGACATCTTCCCTTCAGTCCATCATCTCTTTTTCCATTTTTCCTCAATAAAGTGAACACTTTACTAGTTTTGTCTTAGAAAGTTTAAACATAAGAAAGGTTTTTCTAGTCTGTCTAGAGTACAGTTCTAAAATTGTTCATCCAGAGTTTTTTGACAGGCATTTCAGAACTTAGAACTTCATGCATTATAAACTATTAAAACTCTAACTCTAAACCTAGTTTGTCACAGCAAATATTTTTCATGTGTGTGGGTTTAGAACTACAGAATGTGTTTATTTGGAAGGTGCAAAATTAAATTCTTGAATTTTAATGTGAAGCCCCTTCTCTTCATCTTAAAAAAACTCCACACAAACTGAAAAGTAAATTCATTAATGATATTCTGAAATTCTACTTATTATTGGTAAGCAACATATTTTTGTGATTAAAATTTTTCTGCTTTTTTATATTTTATAGACAGCTTTCTGTCTAAAAACTGAGGTTTTTTCTTTAAAATTTTAGTTTTTTGAAAAAAGACACCATATCTTTACCCCTGTCCCATCCCCATGTTCCTGGCAAACATTACTAGATAACAGCAGATCATACTGTCTTTAAACCATTTTGGTCATTTGTACTCTATAGGATTGAACAGATCCTATTTCCAGCAGTTTGTGAAAGTTATTAACAGGTTTTTTCCCTAGCAATGGTGTTGATATGATTTTTATTGTTCTTTTTGCCTTATTAGTTAGTGATTTAAGACCCAGTGCTTTGCCTGGATCCCTTGATGTAAGCCGTTCGATGTTTGACCTCAGGAGCCCACCTCACCGATTCATGAAGGTGAGTTCCCCTTGTAGCCAAGGTCACACTGAAAGCCCAGCTTAGTGTATCTGTTCCCACTGCATTGTTTCCAAAGTAAACACTGGAGGGCATTGCACTGTACACTGGGAGGACTGGAGGGAAAATTTCAACATCTTGACCAACTTCAAGAGGCTTTTTCCTGGTATCTCCTCTGACATTTGCTGTTCTAGCCCAACGGGGCTGTTGAGAAACCCAAGTAGGCTGTTAGGCAGGACAGGACAGACAGCATGTCATGGTTCATCATCTTGTGGTTTCTTCCATCAGTTGAACAGTGGAAGTTCCCACTGACACAAAACACTGTTAATTTATTTTTGCTATAATAATCTTATATATCCATGAACTTGTCTATATATTCATGAGCAAAAAAAATGTCTGCTGGTCAAATGGGTTCTCTGTTAGCTCGTTGCATCAAAATAATAATTGCATGCTGCTGGATCAAGAAACTAGTAAGGAATAAGGCAATTATTTGAAATGGAGTATTTAGTTTTCATCATATCTTGTCTGATGGTATAATCCCTGGGTTTTGCATCTGTTACTCTGAATTAAGTGATTCCTTTTTTCCTGTCCCCAGAGATATGATTCAGTCTCCAGTGTACCTAGCAGTTCCTCTTCCAGGAAGGATTCGCAAGGCAGTAACAGGAGTCTGGGTAATGTTTTGTTTCTTTACCTTGTAATGAAATATTTCCCTTTGCACATGAAACATTAAGCTATTTCTACTCTGCCATTGATGTTTTTGTTTGGTTTGGGTTTTTTTTTGAGATGAATATGACTAGCAGGTCAGCTAGAGATGACTTGGCAATTTGAAATTAAGAGGTTTGTACTTGCTCTGTCCTGTTTGGAGATTGAGCAAATGAGACTTTGAGAAGTTCTCATGCTTTTGAGAAGTTCATACTTGGATTTTCTTCCCAAGTGAACTAAGAAATTACAGACACCTTGTTAGGATAGAATGCAGTACCAGGTCCCAGGTCTAGTCCTTTTTCATGTATTAGTATTTTTCTGTGTGAAGTGCCTGGAATTCAATACCCATATTACACTGGTAATTAGGCAAGGATATTGCATGCAAACCCAGTATCCTTATTTATGAAAGAATGCCGAAGAAGTGGAGATATGGCAAAATAAACTCTCAAAAATTAATCAAGTCCCCACAAAGGTCACCCTGCTATAAGTCAAAGTTTGACCCAGTCTCCTTCTACACGAAAACTGAGGCAATGACCTGGTTCCAGTCATGACAGAGAAATGCTGGATATTAAATGGCTTTTCTGACTTGGAGACAGCATAATAGTAAAATGTTTACTAGACTGGAATTGACATTTGAGACAGAAGGGACCAATTTATAAATTTAACAGTGAAAGAGATTAAGGGAAGTGATAGGATATAAATGTGTTCTGGGTATCTCAGGAACATGCTTTTTGTCTTTCTAAAAGTTGTTTGAGTATAACACAAGTTATTAAATTCAGTAGAGATAACCCAGGCACATGGTGTGATTCTTGGTGTGGTCTCCTGTGCAGGGCCAGAAGTTGGACTTCTGAGATCCTTAAGGTCCCTTCCAACACAGGGTATTCTGTGATTACATTATTCTATTCCATGAAATGTGAAGTCTTTAGCCATGCAGAAGATAAGGTTACTGGACTTGGTGGATATTTTGTCCTTGAAATGTAGGTGTTAAATTATTTCAAACTTATTTTGAGAGAAGTTTGTGAAGATAAGCAGTCCACCTACTACTAATGAGTTCCCTTATTTCAGGAATGAACTTTTAAGATACTGCATTAAAATATTAATTGGCTTTCTTCCATAGATACTATTACATTATCAGGTGATGAACGAGACTTTGGAAGACTGAATGTGAAGTTGTGTTACGTTTCTTCTGTAGAACAGATTTGGATCACAGTTTTACATGTAAGCAAATAAGTTGGTTATTTATTCAAATAACTATTCTACTATACTTAGTGGTAATTGCCACAAGATTTGTCTCTATGTTACTTCAATGAATACTTTTAGGAAAAAAATATAATTATTTTAAGTGTTAATATAAACAAAGTTCAGTCAAATGTAATACTAGATTTCAAAGCACCTTCCTTTCCTTTCTTATTTTTTCTGTTGCAATCTCTGTTCTGCTGCAGTCGATAAGAAGAAATAGTATATATTTCCATATGTTACCACACATATGTTAACATATGTTCCAGTTGTGAATTGAGGAACTATTCAGAACATACTAGAAAGCTGAGCTGGTGATAGGCTGCTCCTGCTATGGACATTTTCCTGTGAAAATTTGAGGGCAGTAAATGGGAGCAGCTGTGGAAGCACCATTGAAGTGACTTCTGTGATTCTATGACTTTAAATCTAACAGTTCCTTCAAGGCAGAACCCTAACAGAACTTTGAGGACAGGTAGCTTCTTGAGGTTTTTTGTCAGTAAATGTGACACTGTTATGGTGGTTGTATATACTTCCAGAACTGAGAATAATTTTCAGGCAAGGGAAATTTGAGTGGACAGAAACCTTTTAAGTACATCAAATGATGTACTTAATGATGTTCATTGTCTAAACTGACTTTTTTCAATGTTGCAGTGCAAAGACTTGAACTGGCCTTCTAGCTGTGGGGAAAATCCTCGTATCTGTGTCAAGGGAATTCTCACACTGCCCAAGCCAGTGCATTTCAAATCTTCTGCCAAGGAGGGCTGCAATGTAAGTAGAGGCATGCAAAATACTGAGAAATATTTTTCCTCACAAAAAATAAATGTGACAGATAAATAGATTTTTTAAATGGACCAAACATCCACTCCTATGCCATATTTGCTGTGGTAACTGCCCAGGCGTGTTTTACTTCTCCCACCTTCTCAAAAACCTATTAAAAGCCTTATTCCACTTCCTCCCCTATATCCTGCCTTGCATTGTACTCTTGCCCTGCTTCTCTCACAAGCTGGCAGGACAGATATGCTCATAGGGGACTGAACCATGAGCTGCAGGCCATGGCACCTCCGTGGTGGGGCACCAGAGGAAGACTGGGCATACCTGTAGGTGCACACTCATCCCAGGGAAGGTAGCTGAGGTACTGCCTCTCATCTGGCAGGAAACAATTTTCACACTTTGTCTCTACAGAAAATAGTAAAAATTGGTTACATGGGACACGATTCCTGATAGTGGCAGTAAAGGAATATTAAAGCGATGGAAAGTAAAACAACATAAATCTCCCATAATGTGAGCCAAAGGTGAAAGGAAATAAAATTAGCTGGAAAGACTGTAGCAAAAGGTTAGAGAATCTGTTTCACAATGTGTGTATGCTGTTGTAAAGCTCCAGAAGAAATGGCCACAACTTGTTATGATAGTGAAAAATAATCCAGAACTTCAGCCCTGCCAGGGTGTGACAATGCAGGGGCGAGTGTGTGTGGACTTTGCACTATAAAAGCACACTTTTCCATGGTAACCTAAAGTGGTAGGCAGGAGCAGTGGCTATAGAGTCAGGATGCCTTGGTTTCTAGGTTTTGGGCTCAGTGGGATTCTCTTAAAATGATAATGTTATTCATCTGTTTTTCTTTCTAGGACATTGAATTTATGGAAACTTTTGTTTTTGCTATTAAACTGCAAAGCCTGCAGGCTGTCAGACTGGTATTTAAAATCCAGACACAGACTCCCAGGAAAAAAACTATTGGAGAATGTTCCCTGGCACTGCGGGAGTTGAGCTCACAGGAGTCGAATCATTGGCTGGATATATCTCCTCCTTCCAAAGCACCTGTAAGTGCCAGTACTGTGAAAGCATGTTCTTATCTCTCCTAGAAGGGGTTGCTGGAAATGAATGGGAAATAATTCAGTAGTAAAACTAGAGGGGTTCTTTTTTTCCCCTTTACCCTACTTCCTTGGAGAAAGGCATTTTGATGGGGAAAAAATGCAGACTTTTGAACTCTGCACATAGCTGTTCTGGTCATAAACTGCAGATGTTTCTAGGAAAAGAGCTAGAGCAAGCTCTTCCACACTATGGCTCACAGCTTGAGGGAGGGACATTCTGGGGAAATGTTCAGCAAAGAACACCGGGTAATTGTCTTTTCCGACCAAAAAAGCATCAGAAGATCCTTAGGACTCACAGCAAGAGCTCAGAGCAAATGGAATCTGCTTTTGTTATGGAAGAAAAGTGCTAAGATCTTCAGTGGCCTGAAACTGCAGAGACAGCCATATATTTAATGTTCAGATTGCATGCTGTGAAGTAGTAATTCAGACAGTTCATTTCCATTAGCGTAATAAGAAGCAGGTGGTTTTCGCAGTGGGATTTCCTTTCCCCCTACCCTCACTTTGTTTGTTTCTTTTATAGTTGTGTCTAGACATTTGTATTTTCAACAAATTAAACTTGAATTAGCAATTCAAAAGCAAATTTTATTTAAGTGTGTCTGAGTAATATGAATGATATTCTTGATTTCTAGTGTACGTTGCACTTGACATTTTTTTAATGCTAATGTGAATAACCATATTGCTTCAAAAGCAGTGAGATAAAGTGACAGAGGAAGCTGGTATCCAAAAGCCCTCCAGACACTCTGGGATTCATTCCTGTAGTACCTGTGAGGCAGCAAACCCTAACCTCTATGCCAATAGAAAGCCACAGCTCAGAGTCAACGAAGTGACTTCCTCACAGGTTTACACAGAAATTTTGTGGCTGAGCTACAAAGAGAATTTGAGTCTCTTTGATGAACTCGGGCCTGATTTTCTTTATCTAACTTGTTGCTCTCTTGCTTAGTGCATTTTGATTCATTGAAGCATATTAAAACATGAAGGCAACAAAGACTAGGCAGAGTCCATTTAAGTGAAGGCTGTCAGGAAAGGTGGGTCTCCATTGGCCTTTTCCTGCTGCTCTTACAGTGTTCTGAGGACATTAGAGTGTGACAGGAGAGCAAAGAGGATGACTCAGTTCAGCTTTGCCACTGCACAAATTCTAAAAAAAACCCCCAGGAATCAGACTGGAGATCTTGATACATACACTGTGTGTGTGGCAGTGGTGGATGTGTGTGGGCGTGTAAAACACAAGTACTTTCACAACACAGGAAGCTACACAGTATGCAGTCACCCTAAGCACTCATGACATTAAGTGACAGGGCCTTGTGTCAATGGAAACCATTGCCTATATCTCCATATTGCAAAATTCAAAAGTGTGAGAGGGAAACTCTGAAGGGTTTTTTTTTGTCAGTGGAGCTTACATGCTCTCACTTCCACACCCAGATTTAATAAAGTTGCAATGGCAGGTCTGGTTTCCCCTGTATGTGTCTGCTCTTGCCACTGTAGAATCTGTACCAGGTAAAAACTGAGGACTAGATGATTTGGCCAGTATTCCTGGCTGCAGCTCACAAGGGCCCTATGTGCACCACACATAAGCAGCTCATCAGTGGGGCACATGTACTGCAGCTATGACAAGTGCAAGATGCACTTACTGTGCATCTGCAGGTTCTGTATACAGCACATGCTTATATTTCTGTCCAGGAAATCCCAGATAGAAATGTGGGAGCCCAACATATGACAAAATTCCTGTGTTTCCTGAGTTTATAAGCAACTTAATCCAGATATTATGGCAACATTCTTCTGCTTGTAGGTGTGCCGTGCAGAACTTCAAATAGGAACTTGTTTTCAAGCAATAAACAGGAGGATACAGTTACAGATTCTTGAAGCACAAAACCTTCCTGTTTCATCCAGGCCACTGTCTTCAAGTAAGTTACATCAGCTGTTTCATGTCTCCTCTCTGAAAGCACTTGCAACAGGTAAATTGCTGCTCAAATGGGTTGGCAATTCATAACATTCTTTACAAACCTCAGACTAACACATTGTTTCATAGATTTCCATTGCCAAGGCTCATTTCCCCAGATGTCTTACTTGATTATATTTTGTTTGGTTTGAAGATGTGTGTTTATGTATTTTGGAAGATTTTCATCCCAGTATTAATCCTGACATACAAGAGCATTAGCTTGCACTTGCTGTTTGGATACTGTTTTAATCAGTCCAATATTACTGAACATATTCTGTTTATGCAACTGGTCAGGAAAGCTATTGTAGCGTTGTTTTGGCCAGACTTTTGAGAAATAGATGCAATTTGAAGCATACATATGGATCTTGTTGGTTCCTTTTTGGGTGTGTTGTGAGTAACCCTTTGTGTGCTATGTCTTTTTCCTTCCCTTTTGTGCTAGATTTCTTTGTGAAAGTTGGAATGTTTAGTACAGAAGGGATCATCTATAAAAAGAAGACTCGCCTTCTGAAGTCCACTAATGGCCAAGTGAAGTGGGGAGAAATGATGGTTTTTCCAATTAGCCAAGCAGAACAAGGAATTAGCTTTCTCATCAAGCTCTACAGCAAAAGCTCAGTGAGAAGAAAACACTTCCTAGGACAGGTTGGTTTCTGCTAAACAGCCTGATACCATTTACTTAAAACCCAGTTCCACAGGTTTCTTGGTATGAATTTTAAAATACTTTAAATGAGGTGACATATAACAAAATAGTAAATTCTACTAAATATTCTTCTGTATGTAATCCAAGTAGAAATGGTACTGGGCTCTTAAGCATGCACTAGCATGAGAATGGGAGTTTACACTTGATTTTTCTTTCAAAAAGAAATCTTAAAGTCAGTTTTGTGTGGAGTATTACTATGTGACAGATTTCTTCAAAGAGATACAGGATCTCCTTTAGCTTCCTAAAGAAAAACACAACACCCACAGGAGCTCTATGACCTAAGGTCTGTACAAGGTGTTGGCTTACTCTACCAAAACTCTCACAACAGAGGTATGTAAAAGGAAGTATCAACAGCTACAATGAGACTCCTTTCCTGGGTAAAACAATGCTGAATTCAGTACAATAGTCTATGTATGATCAAGTGATAGTACAAATGTCCAAACACAAAATAATTTTAGCTTGTTTTTTAGCTAACAGACACGATTTCAGTAGTATTGCTTTGAAAGCATTTGTGTGATCATATTTATTTGGCCACCATAAAACTTAGTAGTCTGGTCTCATTACTCTCTCCATCCTCTTCCCCTGCTTGTTCTAATTTACCATCATCCTGTCCTTTCTATCTCTTTTCTTCTTGATATAGTGAGCCATAGCTGTTCTTAATGCTCTGTGCTTTTCCTGACCCAGTTAGGTGCAGTAACAGAGTTTTAATAAATGCATAAATTAATAATGTAGACTTGATTTTGAGACCCCAGCTGTAATGTCCCATGTCAGATGGAGGACTATGCTGTCCTTAGGTACAAAAAAATGATACTGTCCTAATCTGGTGATGTTTTTTGTGTCTGCTGAAGACATGCAGCTACAGGAGATGCTCATGTGCTATAAGATATAGCACATTATGTGCTAGCAAGAGTTATGTGAAGTTCCTCCATTTTTTGTAGCCTCATGTTACACATGTCCCATCTTCCTGTTGGTGGAATTAGATTTGAAACAGGAAAAGAAAAAAATTCTTGTTCTTAGCTGTACTGCCTTGGGTGGGGGAGGGCAGAAATAACTGAGTACAATTTTGCAGTCATCTAGCAATATGTGAGGTAATCTCAATCTGATGAGTTACATTTAATTGTGGATCTTATTTATAGGGATAGGAAAACTTGTGCTCCTCAGAGGTTTTTTGGAAAAGATTGTTTTAGCTCATGAAGGCAGACATTGCCACATAACACATGAAGACATAAAATATGGCTCAGGGAAAAATGTACTTTGAGCAATTGGCTGGGTAGCTGGAAAAAAATGAATATAGCTGGATCTATTAACTTTGTTCTTCAGAGAATGGTGTTTAATTGGATGCTGTTCTAAGCAGACAATACTTAGATTAGGCTGCTTTTACAGGCATGTCTTTAATCATGAGCAAGATGTACATTGAATCTCTGTGGATGAAACATCAGCTGTCTATGGTATTCTGGAAGACATTATTCTCACTTCTTGAGGACTCATGCCCCAGCAGTATAGGCTAAATGTACTTCATGGTCAAGGTTTCTGAGAAGTCTTAAAAGGACTCATTCTTGGAAGACTTGAGGAAATAGAGTCCTGTAAATAACGCTACCTACTTACATAAGCAGAATTCTTTTGGCAGTGGAGGCTGGTGATAATGTTAAGGGGGAAAATTTCCTACTTGTACTTCATTTCCTCATTTAATGGCCACTATCCACTAACTGAATACTGAGAAGAAATGGACTCTTACTACGTGACTATGTGTGGTATGGGCATGTTAGTAACCTCTGTGGAATGCAGGTTTGGCCCTGGCTGTGGGAGTGTGCAACTTTAAATGCTCATGAAAGTGCTGGACAGCTCGTGCCGGATGCTGCATGGCTTGGAGCCAACTGCGTCCGAACACACGGAGCCGCCGCTGGCCTGGGGAGCCCCTGACCCCAGCATGTGCATTTGAGTACAGCAAGGAATGCTTTGCTTAAAACATCTTTTTAAGTACTGAAACGTTATTCTGTACTGGGTTCTCTAAACTATTTTAGAATCTAAATTTAAACACAGACTCCAGCTGAAAGCCAAAATGTTAGTACTAGCAGAACTGTATTTGTTGCTGTAATCTTTTGGTCACAGTCTATACA